GTATTGCCCCTGACTGGGAATCAAATCCATGACTTTCCGGTGCATGGACGAAGCTCCAACCAACTCAGCCCCACTGTCCAGGACCTAATTTTACATGATTATGTATGGTTCTCATGTTGTAATAGACGGTATACTTTTTCTGTTCTGAAAGAAAACATAAGAAAATAAGAGACTTACCTTGATAGGAAACCACATGTAGGAACCCTCTTCAGGATACATGAACATTCCATATTCTTTCTTGGTCATCTCTTCAAATATGAAGTAGAAGAACTCGGACTTTACCCCATAACCCTCAGAATAAATTTCGTTAATAAATTCAATCTGAGGAAAGAGAACACTCCCAGAGTTAAAATATAATGCCTTGACCTTTTGTAGAAAAGTTTCAAACCTCCTGCAGTCACCAGAATTCCCAGAATCCCACATCTCTTACTTCACTGCAATCTGTTCTCCCTCAATTTGCTCCTGAGCAGCAGCTGCCAGGAACCTATTTATTGTCCGATTATTGTATACTGAGTGCATGGGGCTTTTAACTGCCACGAACCAAGGGAAGAGGATGCTAGCAAGACTTAGCATTCACCAATTATGTTGACCAGCGTCTTAAACCAAGTTCTGATGTGCTTTAATCCTCTGGGCCACTAAATCCCCTGATTCTTCTATCTTGTTATCTGTCTTCACTGCATCATTCAGACTTTACAGCTTTGGCCCAATCAACAACTAATTTCTCCTACCACTCCCCTCATTGGGACTTTTGATAAACAGCCCTTCCTGGCAGCCTGGGCCTGGCATCTTCCCAAGAACCATGAGCCCTACCTGCCCATACCCCTTGATGGGAGATCAATATGAACTCGTCCCTCTTTTCTAAAGTCCAGTTTTGGACTTTGTGGCTGAGTGCACTCCCAGCTTTCCTCTCTAACGACTCCCTCTCTACTTCCTTTCCTGGATAATTTCTTTTTATCTTTCTAATACAAGTATCACTAAGCTTGACTAAGAGTCCTCTTTTTGGCTGGAAGATCTTATCTATTGCCACTTTGATCAACTGATTCCTTGGCCCTAGATGGTCATTTCCAAGGGCCTGCCTCTCATTCCATCTGGATATCCCAATAACGAATTAAGCTTACTTCCGATTTTCTCATTTCTCAGTGGTTGAGTGTTGACCCTAGCAAGTTTGCCTCTGTCGTGGTCAGGACACACTCATAATGGGTCTTGACAGCCTTGCCTTGCTCAGGGTCTATATTTTGATCAGATCTCTCTTACCTTCTTACCTCTTTGTCCTCCCCTGTAGCAGAATCATTTTCAGTTCATTTCCTCATAATCAAGATTTAAAGGAGAGTAGGTACAGAGGGAGACATACAACTAGAAAGTCTGGCTTATAAAATATTTTGTTTCCCATTGGAGTCCCATGCTGAGAAATATCCCTCTCCTGTGTGAGTCTCACCCTCCAGGCTCTGGTTTCTTCTCTGAGAACCTAAACCTTCCCCTCATGGCTGATATCGAGAAAATCCACTCCTTTCTGAAGGGACTCCAGCTCAAATCTAGAGTTAGTCATTATTTTATAGCCTCAATAAGGCTAATAATCTGAGGTACCATACAATAAAATTCCTACAGGTGCCCACAAAGGGTGAAGTGATGGATAGTTAGAACCAATATAGTAGTGGAAGTTCTATAGCTTAAAGTAGAGCCAAAATGTAGGGCAAGTGTCTGTTCCACCTGCTGCTTGTGGATTGCACTGACAGCCCCAATTCTTTGCCTCTCCTTGACCCAAGTCTTTTGCATGTGACTTTGCAGTTCTGCTCTTTAAAGAGGCTGAATATATTTCACCAGCTCTTGATGTGGGTTTAGCCATGTGACTTGCTTTGACTAAAGCAATGTTTGTTGTGTGACTGGGCTTGTTATTTTGTACCTCTGGCACTGAGTGAGAAGAACATCTTGCTGGTCCCAGGAAGAAGAAGATGAAAAACAGGAAGCAGAGCCAAACTTCCTCAGCCAGGCCTAGCCTAGATCAGTCCATCCCTAGCCAACTCCCAAACATGTCAACAGGTGCATACAGAATCTGCAAAGCCACCCAGATAAGTTCACCCTAAATCAGGAGATCTTCTACTGAACTGCAGATAAAGTACTGTAATTTTAAGTCATTAAGCTTTGGGATGGTTCATTATAGCCATAGGTAACTAGTTAACTTATAATCCCAATGTTCAATTAAATGTCCCATTGCTTTTCATTCCTTCCGAAGGTCAGTGACTACAGCTTGGTTTAATTGATGCAGAGCATCATCAACTAGGTGACTTCGTCTGACTCGAAGTAAAAATCCGGGTGAAAACATATGTGTAATTCGTGACTCCTGGAAAAAGAAATATTTTAGGAATTGTCACTGGAATATTAGGAAATATTTAACATTTCAGATAAACCCATTTTGTCTAACATACAATTATGCCTACTATTGCCATATATGGTCATATTGTAATTATTTAAGAAAAGAGCATCATATGTACACTATGGAAGATAAAAAGGTGGTAGAATCTGTGAGACTGTGCTATCTAGTAATTTTGTACAGAGGATTCATCATCGTGGATGTACAGCTAAGTAATTAAAAGCTATCTCTGATCACTTATTTTAATAAACATGATCCTTAAAAGCAACAGTGGTGTTCCCCACGCAGAGACAGTCTCCCACCAGTTTTTAAGAAGAAGAGTGTTAGCACAATAATCCTCAAGAATGTAAGGGCAGTTTAGAAGCTGAGGGATAATGTGAGATGTAGGAAACAGACTAGAGGAAACACTTGCTCAGAGAAAAGTGTTCTCTGTCACCCTACATAGTACCTCCATTATGCTTTTCTAAATTCTCAACATGCCCTCGCCATTTCAGCTCCCTGCTCTTGCTTCGGCTGAACTCCCTGGGATTAGAAATCTAGTTTTGGAATTACTGGCCTTGCTTTGACCTTTAACCTTCCTCTAGGACTTCTGCTATATCACAAGGACAATAAAAGAATATTTAGGATTCATAAACCAATGCCACCATTGAGACAGTAAGACAGGTGGATAATAACTATCCTAGCCCAGGTTTCCAGACAGTGTGGTTGCCCATATTAGCACTCTATAAACTACTCAGAGAAATGCATGCATATGGCTCTGGGCTTGGGAAAGCCCTGTCCCAGATCTCTGCTACCACTATATACTGAGAAATTATATGTGATTCCACTAGATTCTTCTGGTTTTTCCCTAAGATCTTTGTTGTAAAGAAGCTCCACAGCCCTAGCTGGCTTGGCTCAGTGGCTAGAGCATCGGCCTGCGGACTGAAAAGTCCCAGGTTCAATTCCCGTCAAGGGCACATGCCTAGATTGCAGGCTTAATCACCCAGTAGAGTATGTGCAGGAGGCAGCCATCATCAATGATTCTCTTTCATCCTTG